CTCTTGCCATTCTCCCAGGCTTTTGGGGAGCAGGTACCAGACACTATCATACAGCACCCCTGTGAAGATGGGGTGCAGTGCTTGCCTAGCCTGTAGAACAAGGGTTAACACATGAGTTCCTGCTATGAGCACCTTGATAGGCTTCAGTATGAAGAGAGTGATTAGGCTTTCACCTGGAGGCTGTCCCAACTAGAATCCAATGAAATACCCAAATAATCCAATGTATCGTCCAAAGCTCACATGGCCCATTCCCTTCGTCTTTGACCATGGTCCACAACTGCTACATTTCAAAAGGAATTTCAAGAGTAAATGGCAAGGATGGCTAGGAACTTGAGTTGTAACATTGGCTATGGTTGGTGTTGGCTTCTTCAGCATCTTTTCTTTCCATTATTTCAGTGCTTCTGAGTTAGACCTGAGTATACAGCATAAATATCAGCCCACTTCATTACTACTGTCACATGAAGAGAAGGCACCTTAACACTTTGTCCCATGGCATCAATGAGCAACTGATGTTCCTAGAAAGTCATGGTTGTTTGAAATACATACAAGAAGAGTGGGCATAAACTAGCTGATGATGCACAATAATTTTCCGAGCTTTGTTGGCTTTTTATTACGACAATTAACAAACTGCTTACGCTCTAGATTTTTAAGTCATGTCTGTAAAATATTAACAACCTACTACTTTTTACTTTTTTTCAGCTGTTCTGTGTAAGAGCTAGGTTCTTAAAGTCTTCAGACTTACAAAAACATTGCTTTAAAAATTTATTTCTCACAGGAATAGCTTAGCATTATTTTTTTTAGCTTGCAAAAGCAGCATGCCTATAGATTTTCCATAAAGAATATTTCAGGATACTCCCTTGACATTATTTCCTATCACTCCTCTCCATAGCCTGCCTTCCAAACCAGTTCCTCCTTCCTTTTGACTGTGAATCCTTTTGGCCTCTGTATGCATTTGCATAATGTCTACTTACCTTTTCATTTTCAAATATATTGTGTTGTGTATTTTCCCCTGGTGTCCAGAACTAACCAGTATACAGACACTCCACCAAAGCTGTTTCATTCTTGCCATCCAAGTGCAGGTCCCAGTTAATCTCATGAGATTTCTTCTGCTGATTTCAATGGAGGCACTGCTGCTTCCTGACTAACAGGGGCACAAACAAACAAGTATGAGTCAAGGGAATCAGCAAAAGCAGCTAGATGCAAACAGACAGTTCACCTCTCTCTTCTTCCTCTAGTCCCACAGGTCATTAGGCCCACAGGTCTCTTCCTGTAAACCACAGACTGAGATTTGAAAAGCGTGAGGAATTTTCTTCTTGGGACAGAATTTAAATCATCGAGTAGTTAGCTACTTGACGGCTACCACTGTAAGACTGTGTATTAACAAAGCTAGTCTTTATACACGGTCTTTATACATGCACATAACATGAAACAAATTGATATAGAAAAAATAACTACCTACAAATCAATACTGCATCTCTTTTTTTGCTGAATGAAATGATTACTTAAGGATATCATCCTCAATGTGACTGGGGAGGAGAATTTGTTCTATACTGACAAGGCAGGCATGTGCACCTGGGTCGTGGGGACGGTGAAGCAACCATGCTGCTGACTGAGGACCCAAGAGCCAAGCTGCACCAGGCAGCATTAATGGCAGAGATTCAAGTGCTCTTGGTTTCCTCAGTAAATGTATGATGAGGTGGCATCATCAGGGAGCATTTTGCTCATTATTCTGAATTCCTCCTTTAGTTTCATATCAACAATAAGTAGAAGCCATTCCATTAAAGCAAACTCAGATATATTTATTATCACGGAGTCCAACGAACAACAGCCTTCAGAGTTTTACGGTGTTGTAAAAAGCAAACCTCTTGCTACTTTTCCATGTTTTTTGGTAATGAAGTGGTATTACTGGCTTTGGAGAAGGCAGTTCACAGAAGCCTGTTATGGTAGTCCTTACCAAGTGCTGATCTCTCTTTCCGTGAATCTAATGGCATGGAGTCTTGGGTCTCTGGCTGAGACATATTCTAGTTCCAGCCATGATAATTAAAGTCCTAAACCATGAGAAATTAAGGAACTGAAAATAAAGTCATTTGGACTCCTCCCTCCAGTCAGCAGTCATTAGAGCTGGTGCTAGGGCAAAGTTCTCCTGCACAAAAAGAAAGTTACCCATCTGGCAAGCTGCCTCAGACTCTTGCCCATTTTCCTTCTCACAGAGGAAGAGACAGACAAAGGTCAGGTCTTTTTGGGTCTCTCCATGCCTGGGCCATCTGCAGATGTAGGGAAATAAAAATAGATTCACAGTCCTCATTCGCACTTGTGATCAAATGTGGGACTCAAATACTTTTGTCACTCATCATTTACATATCCTACTATATTAAAGGCACCAGTATTTCAAGATTTTTCTTTGCTCCTGAAAGCAGATTAATCAATCAACCAAATTATCAAGAGAATTCCATGAAAGAAATATCTGAATACATGGTAATTTTTTATGTTATAAACATTAAAAACAAACCATCAGTAACGATCCCCAGATTTTCTTTTTCACACTACAGTTCTGGAATGTCCCAGAAAAGGGAACTTCAAGCAATCAACCAACTTTGCAGTCCCGTTTTAAACTGCCTGTTACAGCAATTGTGAATTCCCATTCTCTTGCTTTGCTTTAATGTTACACCTTTTATAATACCCTTGATTTTCCTTAGAAACATTAGTACTGTTCAGGCTCATTAACGCTCAGTTTTGTCTTTAGGTTTCAGATTGTGACAGCCTTGCTGACTCTTCTAAAATTTAACATAGAAGGCTTCACATCTAGTTTTCAGAAACTCTCTGGGATTCTCTGCTTGAAAAAAAAAAATCTTAAATTTTTTAGTTCATGGAATAAAAGGTCACTGTTGTCACACTGCTGCTAGGGTTCCATGTCATTAATTATGTCTCAAAAGTCAGAGTTTTGGGGGCAGAATACTTGAGTAAATTACTGCTTCATTGCTTTCAAAACTATGAAGATGGGAATCAGAAGTCTAATGCTTACTAATACCTCCAGAATCCTTGCTGTAAAAACCCAGAGCTAATGGCAAGAGAAAAGGTGAACTTTAAGACAGCTACTATTACATTTGTCAGACCAGAAAAGTCTGAGTAAGCAAGCAATGAATGAGTTGATGGCTCCCAATCTCTAAATTTAAAGACAGAAGCCTACAAGTGCAACACAGCATGGACCCAAAGCTAATTGTCTTTGCCTAACCTATTCTACCTCCACAGGGCCCAAGGAGATGTGAAATATGACCAGTTTGAAGTTGGAAGTGACTGGACTGTGTTGCAAGACCTCTGGACAATTTAATAATGACATTTATTTTGTGATAGTATCAAGATTCCCAAACACGAGGTGTCCACTGCAACAGCATTCTTCATTTGCACAAAACTAGAGACTTGAAAATTAACCTAATCTGGGGAAGCATGTCAGGACAGAATATGGAAAAAAAAAAAAAAGTTTAAGCTGCCTTTTGGTACAACTGACCATAGAATACTACTCAGGTGATAAAATTATGACATGGGTGCTTAAATAATCCTCTACTTGGTTTGCAAAGAGGAAGAAGGCACAAAAGGTTAAAGAAGAATGCTTTTATTCAGCTTTCAGCTCTCACAGTTCTAAACAGTAAACATAATTAACAATTCACCCATGGTACCGGAGAAGATAGTCCTGGTATCAGTAAAATGTCTACTGTTTAAGGCACTGATAGTGGGAATTAAAAAGAAAAAAGATATAACATGGGTTGCTCCTATCTAATCAGAATTTGAATCTATTATGGATATGTGCTTGCTATTCAAATGCTTAAAATTCCACAAGCTATATTCACAAACAAATGTTTATACAACTTCAGCAATTACTGAAACAGGAATCAATGGCTCCCCTACTTTGACTTAAGAGCAAGTATTGCATTACTTTGGAGTGGAATCAATTTTTAACCTACTAAAAGAAAACAAAACACAAATTACTTCAGCAGTATGGCTTTAAGACCCTGTATTTGGTTACAATACAGCAAGCAAAGTTAAGTAACAGCATACAAGTGCCATATACTGTCATCTTAAAAGGAGCAGTTTTACAATATAAAAATTAGTTTAGAACATACTAAAGCCAATTTTTGTACAAACATTTTTACAAAACTGAATTACTC